GTTCTTCCACACCCTTGCTCGAATTGAAGGGGCCTAAAATCATTATTAGCATTGATCTAGAAAGCCGTCCAAACAAGGCTAAGAGGCAGAAGTTAATGCCACATCACAACAACTTATGAAAATGTCTCTTTTGTCATTTTCTTTGTGTGCATGGCAGCATGCATGAGCTATAATCGTACTACCTTAGATTTCTTTTTATTCTCATCTTAGTCGTTGATCATCTACTATGTAGTGTACCCCTAGTTGTTAGGTATATGCATATATATAAGGCCAAGTGTATGGCAACCTCGATGTATCCATTTGGATCTTCATTAATGAAACAGTAAAAAAGCTCAATTTTTGTTTTCCTCTTTTAGCTTAAGATTAGATCCTTCATTTACGGAGGTCAAGATAGCTCAATACGAGAGACTAATATACCAAGCTGCGGCACTCGCAGCGAACAGCGTTCGCGACGCGCCAATGCAGACCTGAGACAACGTATTCCCTTAACACTCGCTGCGAAAGACATTTGGAGACCCGACGAACAGCAGAATCATTATATGTCTTTGTGAGAAGAGTTTGTTTTGGTGGGGAACATTAAATACATTTTCTCCCTCTTGTGTGGGTGCACCTAGCACTCATGTTTATATTTTTCTTCTTTTGGATATTGTTCTTTTTTATTTTTTTCCCTACTCTTGGAGGCTTGAATCGTACTTTTATGGCGATGTTTTTACTACGCAAGTTTCCATATTTTTTTGCCTACTTCATTCGAGCATGAATTAGGGGCGTAAGTACCTAGATATAGGACTTGCTATCTCGGTTTTTCCGCTATTTTACTTACTCGGTCATAGGGGTAATTTGGTGTCTCGTTCGGTTTTAGCGTAACTTTGAATTTTAGTTTGTTTTGTTATCTTATCTTTTGTTGGGCTCGTCTAATGTGTTTGGGTAGCTTAAAGTTCAGACCTTTGCAAGAAAAATCGAGACTTTGTCGTAGAAGTTCGGTAATTTCGTAGTAAATCTTTCAACTTTAGCTCCTAGGTGCGTTAGTTGTAGTTCGTTTCTCTCGTTTTTGCCTTTTTAATTCGGTTTCGAGCACTCCGGTTGAGTAAAGCTTAGGTATACAATCATAATGTGCATCTTTTAGCTAATTGCTTTTCAATTCCTTAGTTAAGATTAGTTTACAAATCCCCCAAATCATCTTGCTTAGTATGTTTAGGATTTTATTTGCTATTTTTGTGCCTTTGGACAACTAGTTAGTAAACAAAGCTTCGAACCGTCTTCCTTGAGAGATGACCCAAGTTCGGGTAACTTGGTTATCAACCTATTCCGCTAGAAGCAACTCAACAATAACATGTCCTTGCAATTGTTTGGTTCCCCACGACCTCTCCAACTGGTAATTTCACCTTCATGCTATACGTTAATACCACAACTCAAAATGTGTTGAAGTTTGGCCTTCCCAATATCACGTTGTATGTTAGTCACTATTTACCACCAGAAATATGACAATCTTTACTTGCCTCAGGGGTGGAGTCCCTAAGGCTACCGACAACGTTACTTCTCCCAAAGGGACCACTTCGCCACCACTGAACCCGTATAAGGTTGTTTGCACGGGTTGGAGTCGGATCCCAAGGCCCATCTTATTCCGACAGTGGGTGAATAGAATATCCACTGAGCTCCATGTGTCGACAAAGACCCTTTCAACATCATAGTTGGTTATTTCCACAGTGATTACTAAGGTGTCATTGTCTGGTGTCGAAACTCCTCTCAGGTCAGCTAGTCCAAATTGTACTGTTGGCACATCTGCTGCGATTTCAATCTCCTCTGCACTATCTTGTCTACCTACGACTCTTGCGTGCCATTTCTTGGCTAAATTTGAGTCCCCATCCGACTATCATTTGTATCACTCCATTCTTCTAAGGTGGGATTTCATCTCGTCCTTTGTGTCTGTTGTTATCCTTTTTCTAGTCTTTTTCAACATCATTGTCTCTTAGAACGAACTCCTTTAGATGTCCAACTCGGATTAGCCGTTTTATCTAATCCCCTTAACTCTTTACAAGTATCAGTTGTGTGCCCATAGTCTCTATGATAATGACTCCATGCCTCTGATCGACCTACTAGAACTCTATTTCCCAATGTTCTCAAAACCGGACCGGTCATCGAACCGGTGAAACTATTGGTTCAATGGTTCAATGGTCGGACCAGTGGTCGAACCGGTCCAACCGGTTTAACTAATATATAATTCATTTATTTATTTTATATGTATAATATATAATTATATATATATATATATTTATCATTAATTTTATTGCATATAATGACATTTTTCTAAATAAGAGTTGAAAAATCAATATTTTAAGTATAGTTTACCATAAACAATACTAAATAAAGTTCACTAAAACAATATTTTAAGTATAGTTTACCATAATCAATATTTTTTAATTTTTTTTTATTTCATTAAGTTTTTTTTTTTAATTTTTAGAACCGGTTCGACCGGTCTAGCCGGTACCGATTCACCGGTTTTACCGATTTTGAACCGGTTCGACCGGTTCGATACCGGTTCTTGCTCCCACCGGCCTAAACATGCAAACCGGACCGGTACTAGGTCCGGTTCCTGGTCCAACCGGTCGAATCGGCCGGTCCAGTCCGATTTTGATAACAATGCTATTTCCTCTAGGTAGTATCTTGGGACGGTTCAACAATCCTAGGTTACCTCTCTTTTCCATAACCTGAAAGACATGCCCTCAGGTTGCTGCTAGGGGTGCGTATCTGTCAAACCTATAGCCCAGCTTCCATCCTATCTCTTCACCTTGCCACCCTTCGTAACCTTGCTTCTTTATCTCAGGTCTATGATGTTTATCAGGTCGTTTCTCATTCTCCCTCCACATATATGACTCTAAGAATTCTATCCCCGCTTCTTCCATGTTTATATATTTGTTTCACCTCTCCAAAAGCTCATTATAACACCTTGCGATCCATTTAGCCAATGAGTTTCTGAAAGCACTAGGTCACAATCCCCTCGTGAGTTTCCCCACCTTGTCCTCCTCTGAGGCCGAGGACATATCGACGCACTATTTTGTGTACCATGATCCGCACACTCTTAATGTCTCTCCCTCTTTCAGCTGCATATTGATAAGTTACATGCATGTCTTCTCATGGCTTCGTGCGCTGGAAAGCTGGTTAATGAACACCGAGTTGAATCCTTGAAAGTCCCTTACAGACCCAGGCATCAGTTGATTGAACCAATCCTAGGCGGGTCCTCTCAGCATGGCTAGAAATACCCTAGACCCTATTGGGTCACTGTACTTGTATAGGAAAACCATGTTCTCAAATCTTCTCAAGTCTCGTGCTGGGCCAGTAGATCCATTGCACGACATAGTTAGGTCTTGAAACCCATGCGCAAATCTCATCCAGCACTTTTATGACCGTGCCTTTATTCGATTTTCTCCTGGAGTTCATGGAACTGGACAACTATACGCTCTAAGTTGAATCACGTCAATTTTGTATTGCCACTGGTGAGTTGGTAGAGCATTTCAAGTTGTCATCTCTCCTCTGAGTAACCATTTCCTCTTTATGTATCACTATCACTGGTTTGGTGTTGGTTGCGCACGCGTAGCCACCGCCTCGGCTATCCTCTTCTTTATATCCCTCGTGTGACCTGGATAATTGGTTCTTCCGGAGCCTCCAATCTCGCATCATCAATCGCGAGAGTTGCATTCTTGCTCCGACCTAGAGGACCACTGCTACCCTCAGCAACCTCTAGTTGCAATGGCGACCCTATGCCATAATGAGGCGGGTTCTCTAGCTCGAGCAATGGTCCTGGTTGTAGGCTCTGAAGGATCTGGATCTCATTAATTGGTGGTCCTTGGCGACCCCTTGCTGTGAGCCACCCATGGGCGTCCCTGACCCCCAGGCTTTGGGTCGTCCGCAATTTGGACGGTATGATTGGCCGACTCATTTTCAAGTTTGCACCTTTAGGTAGTTCACATTTGGGTTGCTTAGCACATGCAATGGGTCGAATTAGACACGGTTCGTGGAGACTCAACGATGTTGGCTAGATTGAGCGGTTTATATACGGCTATATTATCACATTATGTGCTTATTTAATTATGTAGTTTTTTTTTATTCCCATTAAGGACTCATTTTTCATATATTTTTGTTGGGTTTGTGCTATATTATTTCACTCTTTTTATATTATGACATCATTATGTTATTTTAAAAAAAAAATGCATTAGGAGTTCATTTGTTCCACATTTTATTTCGTTCCTGCAATGACATACTTAATAAATTAATTAAAATATCTTACTAAAATTAATAAAAAATATTCACCACCAAGTGCATCACACGTGCAATTTACTGGATTATCCAAGAAAATCTTCCAAAACATGGAGAGTTCAATCCAAGAAAATCTTTCAAAACATGGAGAGGATTGCATGTCCTTCAAAAAGTTAAAACATGACATTGGCATGATTTGGTAAGCAAAGGGTTGAATGTCCTTCAAATAGTTAAAAAATGACATTGGCATGACTTGGTAAGCAAGAGAATCAAACATAACATGGAGATGAAAACGTATGTATCCAAGGAAAGAACCAATATCAAGTTGGGATGATTATGTATCCAAGAAAATTTTCGGCACCGTACACTAGATCGGATTAATAAAACCATGACACTTGCATTGCAGAGTTGAAAGTAGTCCCGATAAATCTCTCTGATATCTCTTTTCTCTGTGAACCTTTTTGACTAAGTGAGAATTGATATGAAAAAGTCTGTATAAATCTCATTAATCCAAGGAAAAAGACATAATTGATTATAAAAGATTCAAAGTGTAGTTATGCCAGTTTCAAAGAGAAGTACATTTACCAATTTATAAAGCTTTCCAACCATGCATACGCGCACGTACTTAAGTCTCCAGTCTATTCGGCCTCTATAAATAAATTGAAGCTCCGGCTATGTACATAGTACCATTCTTCTTTACTATCCCCTAATTACTAAATTAAAAATAAATAAACAAAATGAAAAGAATCATGGGAAAGCAAGTTCGAGTTCGCAATATTTATGCAATCGGTATTGCACTGTTACTTTTGTCCATTTGCCGTGTGACAGCAGCCCAGAAGAAAACTTATATAATTCAGATGGCTAAAGACAAAAGGCCGGTTAGGTTTTCCGACCACGGCGAATGGTACGATTCGTCACTACAATCGGTGTCCGATACAGCCAAAAGGATCCACACCTACCAACACGTATTCGGGGGCTTCTCCGTAAGGCTCACAACCAAGGAAGCCGACAACATAAAGAAGCTACCATGGGTGATATCCATCTTTCCCGAGGCCGTTCTAGAACTCCACACGACTCGCTCCCCTTGGTTTCTGGGCCTGCAAACCCAGACCAAACTTTTCCCCGAACCTGAGCAGATGGGTGAAGTCGTTGTCGGTCTCCTTGACACGGGAGTCTGGCCTGAAAGCCCGAGCTTCAATGATTATGGGTTTGGGCCAATCCCAAGCTCCTGGAAAGGAGAATGCATAGGCGGGACCAATTTCAGCGTGCGCAACTGCAACAAGAAATTGATCGGGGCAAAGTTCTTTGTCGATGGCTACGAAGCATATATCGACGGGAAGGTGAATGAGTTGGTGGAATTCAGATCACCGAGAGATCACCATGGCCACGGGACCCACACTGCAACCATAGCCGCTGGGTCTGCCGTGCGTGGCGCTAACTTGCTCGGGCACGCGCGCGGCATGGCGCGCGGGATGGTTCCCTCGGCTAGGGTTGCTATGTACAAAGTGTGCTGGGGTACGGGCTTCTGTGCGCATTCTGACATATTGGCAGGCATGGACAGCGCCATCAACGACGGGGTCACCGTGCTGTCTATATCAATAGGTGGAAACCCAAGAATCCCTTTCTACCCACAGCCTGCCGCGATTGGGGCTTTTTCAGCTGTAAAGAAGGGCATCCCCGTCATATTTAGCGCGGCCAACAATGGCCCCAACCCTTCAAGCGTGGCAAATGCAGCACCGTGGGTAACGACAGCGGGCGCAGGGACGATAGACCGGGACTTTCCCGCTTACGTTAACTTGGGAAACGGGAAAAGTTATTATGGAGTGACGCTCTCCGAAAGCATCTCCTTTCACCGTAAGCTGTTTCCCTTTGTGTACGCAGCAAACGTAAGCAGCGACGGCAGTGGCCTGTGCAGGAACGGGACTCTCCTCCCAGAAAAAGTGAGAGGTAAGATTGTGTTGTGCGACCGTGGGAATGACAGAGCTCTAAGGGGAGCAGTGGTCAAAGAAGCCGGGGGAGTAGCCATGGTTATGGCAAACACAGTGGAGTTTGGTGAAGGTAGACTTTTTCCAGATCCTCACTTTCTTCCTGCTTTGCTGGTGGGTGAGAAGGCAGGTGATGAGATCAAGAAATACCTGTCTACTTCACGCAATGCAAGGGCAACGATGCTGTTCTTGGGGACAAGAGGCGGGGTCCAGCCGGCCCCAATGGTGGCCGACTTCAGCTCGAGGGGACCGAGTCCCTTCATTCCTGAAATCTTGAAACCTGATATCATTGCACCCGGGTTGACCATTTTAGCCGGTTGGTCACGAGCCGTGGGTCCTACAAACCTGGACATTGACCACCGCAGGGTGGATTACAACATCATCTCGGGGACGTCCATGTCGTGCCCTCACATAAGCGGACTCACGGCCCTGCTGAAGGCGGCACACCCGGATTGGAGCCCGGCGGCTATCCGCTCGGCGCTCATGACCACGGCTTACTCGACCGACAAAAAAGGCAGTCCGTTGCTCGATGAATCGACAGGCGAGCCGGCTACCCCGTTTGATTATGGTGCCGGACATGTGGACCCCACACGGGCCCTCAACCCAGGTTTAATCTACAATCTTACCACAATAGATTATGTGAAACTCTTGTGTGCATTAAACTATAGTGACTCAGAAATCGAGTCAATTGTTGGAGAAACAAGCTTCAACTGCGAGGATGAAACATGTCGTCTGTATGACTTCAATTACCCGTCATTCGCCCTCACCGTCCCTGCTCAAAAGGGTAGTAACACCACAAGAGTTTTCACTAGAACACTCACAAACGTGGGGGAGCCTGGAATATATACTGTTTCAATATCCTTCCATACTCTCATTAATAATGCATACACTGTATCTGTTTTTCCTTCGGCGTTGTGTTTCACCGAGGAAAACGAGAAAAAGTCATATGTTGTGATAGTCACAGCAATGTCAATGCCGGCCTACACGAATCAATTTGCCAGGATTGAGTGGAGAGATGGGAAACACGTAGTGCAGAGTCCATTTGCAATTAGTTGGATCAACGCTACTCAGGACAAGTAAAAAGAATGGGTTTGTAATAAATGCTCTGCATAACATATGAGGCAAACTCCACCCGTATATCAGCTTATAGTTCAATAAACATGATTGTAGTTTTCAAGTCTTCCACTTCAATAAATGTTTGATGAATCTCATTGTCCATTAAAATAAACATATTCTTCTTGTCATTTTGATATAACAGGTATATGACTGGTTTTGTATATTTCTTTCTTGATGGTGAAGTAACATTATTGATCAACAAATATAGCCACTGGTAGTGTAAGACGACTCCGTAATACAGAAAAACAAACAAAACATTGAAGATTTCATTATTATCAACAAAAGATTGAAGGATTACAAGCTTGAGAGAACGAGAGAAAAGATTGACATATATATATATATATATATAGAGAGAGAGAGAGAGATAAGTCGGACAATGAAAAGAAGAAAATGAACAGTTGAGAGAAAAATCTAACCCTAGTTCCTATTTATACCTAGTCTAAATACATCATAAAATGCTACTTAATGTGTAAAAGCGTGTTTTACACAAATGAGCCAAAATAATTTAATAATCCAAATACAATTTTATAATCTAACACCCCCCGCAAGAGGAACATGTATATTTACAATGTTCATCTTGGATATACAATTGAAAAAGGGTAAAGGGCTGACAGGCTTTGTAAGGACACCAGCAAGTTGTGACCCTGAAGGAACATAATGTAAAGAAATGACCCCTGCAGATAGCTTTTCCCCGATTATGTGGCAATCAATTTCAATATGCTTGGTCCTCTCATGGTGAACTGGGTTCTTAGCAAGTGATATGGCAGATTTACTGTCTGAAAATAAAGAAACAAGAGCAGAATGGGAATGTCAAATTTTTTAGCAAGTATAAGAGCCACTGGGCTTCATAAGTTGTGGGAGCCAATGCATTGTACTCTGCTTCAGCAGAGGATCTACTAACAGTGGGCTGCTTCTTTGTTTTCCAGGAAACCAAAGAGTCCCCAAGGAAGAAAGCATATGCTATAATGCTTCTCCTTGTATCTGGGCAAGCAGCCCAGTCACTGTCACTAAACCCTTTCAGAATTAAACTTGAGGTTCTGGGATAGATAATACCTTGTCCAATAGTGCACTTAACATCCTGAGTACCCTGTTTGCAGAAGTCATATGTTGATGTGTAGGACATGAAACAAACTGGCTTAGACATTGAACACTGTGTGTTAAGTCAGATCTAGTGATGGTTAAATAGAGTAACCTGCCTACAAATCTTTTATACTCAGATGCATTCAAAGAAACAGAGTTATAATCAGAACAAGTAGCAGATAATTTAAGATTGGAATCCATAGGAGTTTTGGCATGTTTAGAATCTAGATAACTAGTATCCTTCAGAATATCTAAAGCATATTTCGTTTGGCATAAGTGGATACCTTTATCAGATTGAGCAATTTCTAAGTCAAGAATATATTTCAAAGTTCCTAAATCTTTGACAGTAAAACATGATTTTGACAGTAAAACATGAATCAAGATGATGTTTAAAAGCAATAATAGCAGACATATTGTTAGCTGTGACTATAATATCATCAACATATACAAGGAGAATGAGAGTAAATGCAGGTTTGGTGTATACAAACAAAGAGCAATCAGAAGTAGATTGGCTGAGACCATAAGCAAGTAAACATGTAGTTATTTTTTGGAACCACTGTCTAGATGCTTGTTTTAAACCATATAGACTTTTGATTAGCTGACATACTTACTCTATTATCACCAGCAGTAAGATAACCAAGTAGAGGAGTCATATAAACAATTTCATCCAAATCTCTATGGAAGAAAGCATTATTAATATCTAATTGATGCACATGCTAGTTTTTTTTATAGATGCAATGCTTGAGAGAACTCTAACAGTTGTGATTTTTGCAACAAGTGAAAATGTGTCAAAATAGTCAATGCCCTCCTCTTGGGTGTAACCCTGGCTACTAATCTAGCCTTATATCTTTCTACTATTCCATCTGATTTATATTTGATTTTATAAACCCATTTACACCCTATGCAGTGATGATCATGAGGTAAATCAACCAATTTCCATGTGTTAGTCTCTTCAAGGGCAGTCAGTTCCTTATTCATGGCTTCTTGCAAGAGAGGATCTAAGACTGCCTTCTTGTAAGAGTTAGGCTCAGTGAGATTGGTTATTACAGTAGTAAAACATGCATGATCATGAGATAAAAATGTAGTAGATAAGTAGTTAGAGAGGGGATAAGGTGTTCCAGATGTGTGTTCATGTGTAACAGATGTGGAATTGGAGGATTGGGGCAAATAATGTTTGTATATATGTAAGTATGATGATCCTAGAGGATCTTCTGAGTGTGGTAGATGGAGGAGAAGGGTTATTATTGTTGATGTAACGCCCAGATTTTTAATTACTATTTATGGAGCTCGACTATATTTCCATAAATATTAAGTTTCTAAATTTGATGCATTATTTATATTATTTGCATTAAATTAAATAATTAGTATTAAAGTCTAAGCCATAAAGAATTCAGTCGATTTTAGTTATTAAAATCGAAATTTTATTTAAGTGAACCGAAGCCAGATAATTTGATTATTCGAGCCCAATTAATTTTGGGAATCCAAGTAACTTTAGCCGGCCCATTTTTAATTCGAGTAGTCGAATTAATTTTCAAGACCAAGCGATATTTTAAATATCGAGCCCTCGTAGTATTTTAATTTCGGGCCCAATATTTAATTTCGGCCCAAGTCGAATTAGTACTACAAGCCGTCACATTTTTAATTAACCGACCAATTATATTCCTAAGTTTAGTCTAGTAATTAATCGGCCCAAGTCGAACTTATTTATCGAGCCCAATTCGAGTAACATTTCTAGCCCGACTTTAGTAATTGCTAGGCCCGATTTTAGTCCCAACAAGAGTAATAAACCCTAATCTCCCACCATGCTATAAATAGACCCCCTTGTCTCCCAACCCCCAACATCCAACACAAAACCCTAGCCACCATACTATTCATCATTCTCTTCCCTCACCATCTTCAAATTCAAGATCCAAGCTCTAACATCCATTAAAGCTAAAAAATATATCATTTCCATTGCTTAAGCTTGAAGGTTCCACCCTCATCTCCACTTTTCTTGCTAAAACCGACCATCTTCCGGCGAATCTCCGGCAAGGCCGCGCCGCCGTGCCACAATCCTCCTCGGCCCGAGACCACCACAGTCCAAGCTCAGTCGGTTCGCAGCCCTCCACAGTCGAGCTCGCGCGTAGCACTTCGGTCCCAGCCCTTCACGCCGTTGTTCGTCCAGCCCGAGCTCGCAGCTCCTCCGCCGCCTTCCCAGCTCACTCACGCCGGCGACCTGCAACTCCCTCACGGCGAGCCCGAAGCCCGACGAACCACCCTTTCACGAGCCGCATCTCACCAGCTCAAGCTCCAACGACCAACAGCTCCTTCACACGGCCACATTCTCAGCTTTTCCGGCGAGATTTCGCAGCTTCACGTTGTTCGACGTTAGCAACCAGCCAGCTGCATCCTCACGCGCGCGTCTGTACAGTTGCGTCCCTCTAACGCGCGCCCAAGCTCGGATCTGAACCCCCTTGCTTCTAGCAACGCGGATCCGTGGTCAACACCCCAAAACTGAGCTCCACAGCTTGGGACCCGACCCGTTCAGCAACCTTGGAGCTCCAAGATCCGACCCAAGCCCTAGATTCGGTCGTCTTGTTCCTTTCTCCTTCATTTCTTAACCGAGCTATAACCCGATCCGCTCGTTTTCGAGCATTGTGAGGTATAATATCTAGAACTCGGTTTTGATGGCTTTGATAAAATATTTGAGATGATATAAAAATGTGAATTTGATGATTTGAGTGAAAATTATCGGGATTTTTATGAGCTTGGACCGATCGATTTTTTCGATCTCTTTATACATAAGTGATAAAATGATTATTTAAATTTGATAAATCATAATTAATTTTCTTGAGGCTTAGGTAAAAATTTGAAAATTTTCGGGATTCGTTTGATAGGCGAACCGATTTTATGTGTATTTGACCGGTTGAAGCGATTACTAGTTAAATGAGTTAGGAGTTGACCTTGGACTTGATATTTTGACCAAAGATGGTGTATATATCGAGGATGCTATGTATTAAATTTCGTGAATTTTGGATGTCATTCGACTTAGTTATAAAGTCGGGACTTTAGCCGTTAACTCGATATTTTAAGAAATTAGCCGGATATGATTTTAGCTTCAATTGTGGATTATAGATTTATTATAAATCACATAGAATATGTATATTAAATATCGGCATTAATTGAGTTAGGATTTTCGAGAATTGAAACCCTAATTGTATCCGGTTCCAATAACCGGGTAAATCCCAGATCCATATTTAATCGCCTGAACTCTAGTACCGTCTGGATAATATTTAGCGTCGTATCGTTAATTCGTAATGCGTATCGTCATCTCGCGCACGTGACCGTCTCTCGTCCGACCGTTGGAGCCGAAACGCCGAGTGCGTGCCCGTGCACCGAGTCCGAGTCAACCCCCGAGTGCGTGCCCGTGCACCGAGTCCATCCGACTTGCCGTCTATGCATCGTTCCGTTAGCCGTGGTCCAAGCACGCCCCTGCGTCAGTGACCGTGGCACCGTTTCAAACTCGTGCATCGGCTAAGCCGTATATCAGCTTATAGTTTAATAAACATGATTGTAGTTTTCATGTCTTCCACTTCAATAAATGTTTGATGAATCTCATTGTCCATTAAAATAAACATATTCTTCTTGTCATTTTGATATAGAAAGTATATGACTGGTAATGTTTTGTATATTTCTTTCTTGATGGCGAAGTAACATTATTGATCAAGCTTGAGAGAACGAGAGAAAAGAATATGTAAGACGACTTCGTAATACAAAAAAATAAACAAAACATCAAAGATTTCATTATTATCAACAAAAGATTGAAGAATTGCAAGCTTGAAAGAACGAGAGAAAAGATTGAGAGAGAGAGAGACAGAGATAAGTCGGACAATGAAAAGAAGAAAATGATCACTTGAGAGAAAAATCTAACCCTAGTTCCTATTTATACCTAGTCTAAATACATCATAAAATGCTACTTAATGTGTAAAAGCGTGTTTGATACGTGAGAAATCTTGTATTATTTAGTGATTTAATTTGCATATTTGAGCATTTGATTTTAGTGTATTATTCAAGTTTTCTCACGTATTTTATTTTGTGAACAGACATACACCAATATTTGATTTTATGTCTATTTTGCAGTTATTAAGCTTATTTGTGATGTGGGGTTGATGCGATGGCAATTGAATTTATTTCCCTTGTGAATTGGGAAAGTTGGCCGAGAATTTGAAGAAAGTAGGATTTTAATTCCTTATTAGGGGAGTTTGACATCGGAATTAATTGGTGAGGAGCTTCAATCAAGTTGGATTCTTTCCTTGGGCAAGTGCATTACGTGGCAACAAAAAGAGGGAAAGAAGAATTCTAATAAAATTGGACTCTCAATTTTGGAGGGCCTGCGTGAAAAGAGAGGAAGGAAAAAAAAGAATTAAGGAGGATCCACCTTATTTTTTATCAAGCTTGTACGTAGTGGCATTAGAGGAAGACCATATGTTGTTGCTTTGAATCCATTTTTGAGCCGTGGACTGAGAACTATTTAGGGAGTTTGTTTTATTTATTTGTTTTTCTTTATTTTGAAGAACATGGATTATTGTTTTTGTTTTTATCATTTAGCTATGTGTAGCTAAACATTTATTCGGTTTTAGGGACGTTGAAACCTCGGTGACTATGTTTGCTTAATGCAGTTTTATTTTGTTTTACTCGTCGTATAAAATTGATTGTGTTATTCAAGTTTCATGTCATAATATGTGTTCTTTAATTTAGCTTGATCACCTAAGTTGAGGATTGCATGTTAATTGCTAGATTTAAGACTTCGATCCGTGTAATTGTCGTAGTTCTTATTTCGCTTGTAGCAACTAACAGTCGTGCATTGTTAGGGATAACACAACATAAGTTACATCAACCGAGCTTGTGTGTTTGTGGCTTAGATCGGTCTATTTTCCTAGATTCTAATGCAACTAGTGGATTAAATTAGGAGAGCTTATTCCGAGTTATTCGCTAGTTAGAATTAATTGAAGAGCCTATTTCGATTAAGTATAATTAAGGGAGAATTCGGGTAGCAGAGCTTATTGCTATCTAGGACCGGTAGTTTTAGAAGACGAGTGAAACTTGATAAATGCATTAATTGGACTAGTTAATCGAGGGTGTAAACCGACCTAGGACCGATTTCATTCTCATATTTGCTAGATTAATTATTTATTTTCAATTTCATCATCTTTGCATTTTAATCATTAATCTCTAGTTTTAGTTTAATTATCGTTTTGCTAGTAGTTTCGTGTTAAATCAAATCCCTCCCATTTTTACAACTTTATAATGTGTCTTCGAGTAGAAACTACCTTTGTTGATATTTTTGTGCAGTTAGATAGCATGGTGCATATATAACCAACATGGCAGCGCTGAGTTTTGTAGAACATGGCCATGTCAACATAAGCAGCTCATCAGTTCTTAACATGGGCCTGGTAACACTAAGCCCAATAGGAACATTAAACACCAACGATAATTAAAGAGGAGCATATCAGTTTTTGGAGACCTACAGAACACGTACAGCAGCCGCAAGGAGCAGAAAGAAGGGATCACGCGATCATCAACCTTAAAAATTCTTTCTTCCCTTTTCTCTATTTTTCTTCTACACTTTTGCTAGACTTTATGGAAGCCCTGTGCGGCTAATTCTCTTTTACTTCGGTTGAATACGATTGAAACCCCGAACTTAATATTGTGAGATCTAATTAGTTTTTATCTATTAATTCATATTTCGTATTGATTGTTTTGTGTGTTTATGTTTATGATGTTGTGTTAGGATCGTGGCCTGATCAACTATTGTCTTATGCACTTAATCTATTGCTTGGTAGATATTGAGTCGGATTTAGATGATTTACCTATCGTAAGAAGCAACTGAGTGTGGTAATTGACCGGATTTAGGCGTTATCATTCTTAGGCAAAATAATTATATAAGTTAGCATTTCACGGATTAGTTATTTGTTGCTTGTGTTGTCGGGCTCTACTTCTTAATGCTATTGCTAGGATAATTTTGCATGATGTTGGGAATTGCCTAGTAATAAGGGTTGTGTAGGAGGATTTATTTTGCATGGCCAATTTAGGAGTCAGAATTCATTATTCAACGACATCTACATATTTATGAATTGATAATATTTGCATCAAGGATCAGTAGAATAATTCGGGGTGGAAATCAATTCAACCGGAGCACTTTACCTATATATTCATCTTCATCTTGCTGTTACTTTTGAATCTTTTATTTAATAATCTTTTACCAATACCTTCTTCATTTTCTTGTTAATTAGATAATTAGGATTATAAATCAATTCTCTCCCATTTTAATCACATAGTTACAGTCATTTAATTAAATTATTCCCCGTGGATACGATCCTTGCTCACACTACTACATATTTTTAAGCAAGGTTAATTTGGGTGCCTACAACAGCACGACCAAATTTTGGCGCTGTTGCCGGGGAATTATTTTAATTAAATCTTTGATTGTGTGATATTATTATTATTATTATTTTATTTTTATTTATTATTGTTTCTCTTGTCTTTTCTTTGCTATCTTTTACTTCTCTAACAGCTTGGTTAGTTTGATTTATATTTTCTTGGCAGTTGATGATCGGGACGCGTTCCAATGTTTCCAAAGATATTCAATTTGACCCAGAAATTGAGAAAACAACTAAGGGATTGAGAAAAGAAGCAAGGAGGAGGGAAACCCCTATAGACATCGAAGAGGGGACACTTACCAGCTTGTTCGAGATTAACAGTGATTCGGAAGAAGACTTGGAAGAAAGGGACTTGAACGTGGTCCAGATGGCGAATGCGAATAGAACATTAAAGGAGCTGGCAGCTCCTAATTTAGATATTCAGCCTCTTTGCATTACTTTTCCTGCTATAGATGATAACATTACCTTTGAATTGAAATCTGGGCTAATCCATTATTTACCTTCGTTTTATGGTCATGCAGGGGAGGATCCAAACAAGCACTTGAAGGAGCTTCACTTGGTTTGCACGAGCATGAAACCAACAGGTATTACAAAAGAACAAATAAAGTTGCGAGCCTTCCCTTTTTCATTGAAGGATGCGGCTAAGGATTGGCTTTACTACCTTCCGTCGGGCTCGATTGAAACATGGGAGGTAATGGAACGACTTTTCCTGGAGAGATACTTTCCAGCATCCCGAGCTGCCAACATACGTAAGGAGATATGTGGGGTGCGACAATTACATGGGGAGAACTTGTACGAGTATTGGGAGCGTTTTAAGAAATTGTGCGCAAGCTGCCCGCAACATCAAATTAGCGAGCAACTACTGATCCAATATTTCTACGAGGGCCTGGCATTGATGGATAGGAACATGGTTGATGCTGCAAGTGGTGGAGCTCTTGTTGATAAGACACCG